TTTCGTGCTGCAAGAGCCATAAACTCGTTATTGAGATATAAAGCAACGACTGTTATCATAAATTAGTCTTTATAAAAGAACATGTTTTCAATAAAATTCCACTTTTATTCAGCGTTAAAAAAAACCTTCTACTCAAGAAATAAGATGGGGCAATAAAAATGCGTGCCTTTAGTAGATTTCTTTCAAGGTGACGAGTCCAAATTGGTATCGATAATGTGATTGGAATTCAGCTAATGAGACCTTAGCAAATTGTCACCGTCTAATGGGGCAAGTTTGTAAATATTGCATTTGCTGCTTTCGTCTAGAATGTGTCTTACGAAAGCGTACATTTTCCTGTTTTGGGTCATGACGATTATCTGTTGCTTGTTTGGGATTCGATTTTGGTTTCTTTTGTTTGGTTTGTCTGGAGGGTTTTATTTTATTTCATTTTATTTCATTTATCTTTTCTTTTTTTTTTTTTTGTTGAGTCTCTGATTACCTGTCGATATCAAAAGGTGATGAGTCTGTCTGCCTATTTTTATATCTGTTCTCCTTCCCTACCTCCTGTGAACGTTATATCTTTTGATAGTCTGTCTGTTTATGTGTTTGTCTGCACGTCTCTCTGAGTTCATAATACGTCTTCTGGAACTTTCGTATAACATGAGCTTTACGCAAGGCATTTATCTGATCTTGTCTTCAAAAATCCACTTTCATGGATAGAGCAAAGCACCCTGGATATGATAATAGCAGTACCTCATGTCATGTCTAACTACATGACGACTGTTTTCCTTTCAGAAAACTAGAATAAATGGGAGTACTCTATCTGAGGTCATTCCTTAAAAGAAAAAGGTTTTACTTTTTTCAGACAGAACCACAATGCAGAACGAAACTACAACTTTCTCTAGAATGGATAGAAGGTCTACCTAGTACCCAAAAGATGGCAAAAATCTATCGATATAAAAATTGATATCTTACATTAAGTTCAGCTGCACCTAAGGCTGATTGACATCGATGTTATACCACAATCTTGTTCAATGATAAATAAGTTAATGATGATGGTATATCGATTCATTTATTGTAACAGACGACAAAACACCATCAATATAATAATCAATAATACCTCGCACAGTGACTTCACCAAAGGCTGTTGTCTTCATAGAAAACAGGATGGCCGGTGTCGAAATCCGAGAAGGAAAATAATGGATTTTTCTCATTCTACGATACTATCTCAACAGCACAAGAAGACCGACAAAGAGGTCAGAAAAGAAAATAATGAGAAGACAACATAAAAGAGTGGACTGGCAGTAATTGAAACATGTTTCCACGGAAAGCTGAGAACCAAGATGAGTGTTGTCCCTGGGGCCAGCCAGACTAAGTGATATGCCAAAGATGAAAGGTGAATCTTTTGTCGCAATTCATTGTGGGGTATTCGCCGTCACACTGAGCGCTGAGCACGGACATTTGAGTCGGACTTTACTCTAATGGTATCGATGGTGATAGTATCAAATAAACCTATCAGGTGTGAATAAATGCCCTTTGTTCACATGGATATACTTTTGGTATTGGGTAATCCCCTGGTATTTTGCTTTGTTCTGTTTCGTTTGGATTGTTGTTGTTTGTTTTGTTTTTTTGTTCTTTTGTTTCGTTTTATTTCGTTTTGTTTTGCTTCGCTTTCAATAGATTCAAATTCTGTGCATAGTTCCAATGTCTGAGCGGCCAGAGATAGTTTACCCTTTGTCCTCAGTACGTGAGCATCTCTATTTTGTGGTTGTTTTTTCAGGTCATAAAGATTGATGAATGTATCTTTTCGTCCAATCGATCGTGCAATTTTTAATCCCTTTTGCAGCTTGAAGTCCATTGATTCGTCGTCGCCATGCAAGCACGAAATCACCCAGACAAACATATACATGTATCGGCGTGAAGGTCCATCTTAAACGTCTGTTTTTCTCTATTGTTTCATTGTAAGTGTTTTACGCCCCAATTGACACAATTTAAGATAATTTCAGAGAAGGGCAGTTTTGAACCTGCGTTGCAGAGGCCTACGTGGGTGAGTGGGATACAGCATTCCAGCATTTAGACGGCTATACACAATATAAAAAATTCCCCACACGGGATTTGAATTCAGGTCCTGTTCTACACCTTTTCAGCTTAAAAATTATTCGAAATGAGACATACCCAAAAGTTCCCGAATAAAAATAGCAGTCAGTCTATGTCTTTTTGGTGCTGTTGTTGTTGCTGCTGCTGTAGATGTTGTTATTGCTGATTCTATTACTGTATGAATTTCACAAAAATTTGGCTCGGCCCTTTCAGAGGTGGACGTTAAACTCGGAGGTCCCGCCTCTTGAATAACCAATTACTCTTGATGGGGGTGTTTAAACCTGTACTACCATTTCAAAATGTCACAATTGACTATGAGAGTGTGCGTGGTTAAGTTCAGTGATATCATTTTTCAACGCTGTGAGACGCCATTCAATTGTGTTGTTAGTTAAGATCTTTTTTTTTTCTTTAGAAAATGTCTCTCCTCCTGCCACACACGCACGCAATGCCCTCGGAATAGTCATAGTATTAAGTGCTGTACTGCATCGATGCTATACTTTACCAACGGCTTGTTTAATAATAAATGGGTTACTTTTAATGCTGTATCGATTTATTTATTGCAATATAATTGCTGGTATTTACTGACATTACGCTCCCCACTAATGGCAGTTGATGTTGACCGATTATTCATCACTTTGGGAATCTTACTACGAATCCGTATCAGTTCCACTTTTTAAAAAAACGACACCAATACCGAAACGATACAAATACGAAACTCATCTCAGAAGAGAGAATAGAATCTTGAAGTAGCACGGAACGACGAATCGAGACCACTCACTTACGAGACGGACACGTACAATAAATAACATTCCACAGAAACCAATCGTTGGAATGTCGTTACATTTCATGATTGGTGTCAATCTCTGATAGTTGATTTCCCACCCAGAGTAGCAGCGTACTCAGGGACCCGACAGTATTGATTTAAAGAAGTTTTACTTCTAGTATGTCGTTCTTAATGTGGAGGGATGAGACGATTACCTGACGAAATTGTGTAGATGACGCGGGCACGCGCGCGCCCACACACACACACACACACACACACACACACACACACACACACACACACACACACACACGCATACACACACACACACACACACATATATACAAACAGACACAGGCACACACACACACACACGCACAAACATTCTCTCTCTTTCTCTTTCTCTCTCTCTCTCTCTCTCTCTCTCTCTCTCTCTCTCTTTCCCTCTTTCTCTCTCTCTCTCTCTCTTTCTTTCTCTCTTTCTCTCTCTCTTTCTCTCTTTCTTTCTCTCTTTCTTTCTCTCTCTCTCTCTCTCTCTCTCTCTCTCTCTCTCTCTCTCTCTCTCTCTGTGTGTGTTTCTCTTCCTAAGTGACACAACAACATCAATAGCCACATCAATTATAACTGAATTTGTTGAAGTGCATCTAAGCCTACAGGACAATGGCGATTTAACGTTCTGCAGAGCAAAGATAATACAGCATTTCGTGGATATTGAAGAAGATGATGACAAAATATGATCTCGAGCCGCAACATTGGCTTTTGCCTGCTGCTGATTGGACGCTACGTCTCCAAACAGTTATTATAAAAGTGTTTGTGTTGTATCGAACATAAAATAAATAGTTAATCGCCCTTTACTGTGACTTTTCACCGTTATACGGCCCACTTCGAAAGAAAAGATTGTGACCTCTGCTGCTGTTTTAGAATGTTAGTTCGTGTAGTCGAAGTCTGAGTACAAAATCCGCGTCTGTGTTGTAGATATTTTGTGTGTGGGGGGGGGAGGGATTTGTCGATATCGATATAATATGCAATAGACATGTGTTTGGTTCCAACGATGGGAAGTTTATTTTATCAAGCACTACCGTCTTTGGGCTGGTGTGATGTGTCCCTCAAAGTAAGCCCGAACTGGCCCTTACAGGCAAGATCTAAGCAATAGTTGGTCAGTGGGGAGTTGGCGTGTGCTCTGGTGTGGTTTGCTCCTTCTTTCCTATCAAACGTCTGCTATTGTCCTTTCTTCCCCTTCTTTTTGTGCATGTTACTCTCTTGTAACACCTCTATTCTTCGGCACTTATTTGACTTTATTGTGTTGCAAGTGTTGTAAAACTGTTTCTAAAACTAAAACTATACAGTTGGCCAATATATAATCAAAAGTGTGTCCGTGGGCAGTAACACACCGACATGTATACACTGTTCTCAAAGAAAACGTAACACTGTTTTATAAAATATAAAACTATTTGTACAATAAGGAGCAAGGTGTTTTCATGGGTTTTTAAAATATGTTTTATTTATCAAAGTTGCAGCACGCTACACCCTCGGTTCTTGCATGCAGAGTTCACTATTTAGCAAACATGAAATAATGAAAAACAACACAGATGTGTTGAACAAATTTGAGCATTTGTCAATCAGTTATTGTATATTTTAGACCGTGTTCAATACACTGTATCCCTCGATATTTAGCCTGATATAATTACGTTTCGTAATTACTTTTGTTTTCATAGAAGGAGTTTTTTTTAAATTCACCCTTTTCTGTTTTATGATTAATGGATATAGGGCGTTTTGTTATGGATACTATATAAAATGAACACAGCTTGTGATTCATATTGTAATAATCCGATTTTTACTACTATCTTCACCCCCCCCCCCCTTTCTGCCTTTCTTTTCTTCCTCCGCCTAAGTCTCCTCTGCCTACTTCTCGTCTTCATTAACCCCTGTATCATTCTTCTTCATTCTCCTTCTCTTTCTCCTTTTCCTCCGCTTTCTCCTCGCCCTCCGCCTCTTCTTCTTCTTCTTCTTCTTCTTCTTCTTCTTCTTCTTCTTCTTCTTCTTCTTCTTCTTCTTCTTCTTCTTCTTCTTCTTCTTCTTCTTCTTCCTCTTCCTCTTCCTCTTCCTCTTCCTCTTCTTCTTCTTCTTCTTCTTCTTCTTCTTCTTCTTCTTCTTCTTCTTCTTCTTCTTCTTCTTCTTCTTCTTCTTCTTCTTCTTTCTCTTCTTCTTCTTGGATCCTTTGACTGTCATCTACAGAAGTTTCTAAGTTCTCCATGCGCTTATTCCTACATCACTAAACCCGTCTCCCTTTAGATGTTGAGTCCCCATTATCATTTATTAGGCTTTTGTGCCCCTTTATCAGTTAGACATCAATCAGAATTATCATGGTTGGTCTCACTCCGAACACTCTGCGAAAGCCCCATTCACATTCCCGCTGTCTCTCTCCCCACTACATCTCAGTGCAGTACTACTTGACTCGCTCACAAATTGTGACAAAGAACGTCCAGTGCTGGCCTCTCTGTCCGAGTCGGACCACGATTTGCAACGACGACACCAACAGAAACGACAACAACGACAACAGCTGCGACAAGCGCGGTGAATTTCCCGAAACAACTGACGAATCTCAGCGCGGAATCTGGAGCCTGTGGCGCAGTACAACAGGAAGTTAGCGGCGTTGTTGGTGTACATGGCTAAGATGGCGGCGGTGAGCGTGAGACGTTCTTCCGGTAGGTAGCCGGGTGGGAACCAGTAGCTGGCGCCCAGGAGGTACACGGAGATGGGCGAGTTGCAGACGATGAAGGTCACGTTGACTGAGAGTAATGTCAAGGTCAAAGAAACCTCTTTATTGTTTCTGCTGACCACGCTTTTTTGTTTATCTCTTGGATACTTTGACTCAGTGGTACCAGTGCTGGAGTTTGCGTTATTTGTTTTCGCGCCATCAGTTCTGGTACTGGTGCTTTTTCTGTTGTTTGAGATTATCTTAACGGTTTGTTCGTTAGAAGCTTCATTGTAATTCGTAGTGGTTGTCGTCTTGAGAGAATCCTGGTTGTGTGTCGCATGATTAGTCTCTCCAGCGGCAGATGTCTGAAAGGTTGAACTTTGTTTGGTAGTTGAAATCCTCTCTACTTTTCGTCGGCTATGAATAACGAAATAGATGATAACGAGGTTGAAGAAGAGTAAGATAAGACTTGGTAAAAGTACAAACTTTGTGATGTCAATCCAGTACCAGATGTTGTCCATGAACTCTGAGTCCAGAAGCACGCACTTGTAAACGGAAGTTCTGTTTGTCTGTGGGTCGTACGTTTTCACATCCCCATAAAATAATAGCAGAGGTAGATTAGACGCCATTAATAGGATCGAGATCAGAACGACGGTAGTCCATCCCGTTGTCTTGGAACAAATCATCCTGACCTTGTGAGGATAAGCAACACTGAGCAATCTCTCTGACGTCACCGCGACCAGAATCCACGCACTGATGTCCGGGGCGAACGCCGTCGTCCATCGGTGAAACTTGCAGAAACCTTCACTGAGAGACCGAATGTTGTATCCGGACACCCCAGAAATAAACTGTCGGCTGAGACCGTTGTAGAGCGCGAACAGATCGACTGCTGCGAGGAACCTGAGATACACGGATGTCGTGGAGCGACGGAAAGTGTTACGGCTGAGTATAAGGATTGACAGAATGTTGAAAACAGTCCCCACAGCTAGGAGCAAGATTGAGTAGTACACTTTGAGGGAGCGTTCTATGTCGAGCAATAGTTCATCACGAGTCGAGAGTTGGAGTGAGGTTTCAACTCCGCTTGGACTTCCTCTTGCTTCTGAGCTTAAGAGAAAGTTGGGGTTCGGGCTAGTGTTGTTGGCTTTTGTCATGTTAGGATGGGAAAACGTGTCGTTAGCCATCCTGGTGATGCCTTCATGTGACGTCACCACTACCTCACTGCCGCCAGGAACCTGATGAAAATAGACAAAATGAACTATGTGTTAGGTTTTGAACTCATCGTTATAATACAGGGCTCAGTGGGTTTCCACAACATTATGGCATTTAGTATTTGTTCTAGCCTTTGTACAAATAACACAAAATCAGGAAACTTTAATAATAATCAGAGTTCTCGAATACTTTCTAATCAAAAGTTTCTTAACGTATATCGTACTTTAGAGACTTGAATTTGTATCTGAGGAATCGAGTCCGGTAAGACAGGAGTGAGTATGTAGGTGTTGGAAAGATGGGGGGGGGGGGAGAGCGAGAGAGCGAGAGAGAGAAAGAGAGAGAGAGAGAGGAGGAGAAAGAGAGAGTGAGTGAGAGAGAGAGAGAGAGAGAGAGAGAGAGAGAGAGAGAGAGAGAGAGAGAGAGAGAGAGAGAGAGAGAGAGAGAGAGAGAGAGAGAGAGAGAGAGGGGGGGAGGGAGACAGAGGTCTATGAGAGTTGTTTTTTTAATGAGTTTCAGGATTGAAAAAAACTTTATAAATGTGATTTAGTTACGAAGAAAACTTTGTAAATGTGCATGTCGATATGAAGAAAAATTCTCTAATTTAAAAGTATTTATTTTTAACCTTTGTTTCTTAATCTTCTGTTGTCCCTGAACTAAATAGCCACTACGGTGTTGATGTGTTTCTCTTTACCCAAATAAAAATGGAATTGGATTTTTTCTTTCCGCCGGCTACGTCACGCAACACCGATAATACAACATTATATTGCTCTTTGTACAGAAATACCATTGCTCAGTGGCGACCAACCACTTACAGATCTCCATATTTTTTTATAATTTTTTAACGCATACTCAACGCCCCCTTTCCACGCAAATTATCAGATCACGCAACGGCAGATATGTACCTCTAAAAACAAACAAAGAAAGATATAAAAGATTTTTTTCAACGTCTATTATAAGGCTATTGTCAGAACATCAATAAGTATTGCTCTTTCGAATATGTATCTAAAAACTCTAAAGGTCTTGTAATTAAAATTCTGCATGTGGTTGAACGATGCATCTGACGTGATATGTACATTTTGTCAGCTTTACTTCTCTATTCATATTTAATTTTAATGACGGCAATATATAATTTAGATTTAAATGTATACCTGTGTGTGTTTTGACTGCCATGTACAGCCAAGAAAATTTCCCTCTGGGATAATAAAGTATTATCTTATCTTATCTTAGATAAGAAAAAAGTCTTCCCACAGCGTTCAGAGACACCGAATTTCTATTTTCTCACTCTTTTCTTTTCAAGTTATGGATCTGGCCCTCCAACCCACCCCTCCTCCACCCCACTTTGATTGCTGTGCCACACACCAGAGGTCACTTATATCACTTAGGCTGTGTTTGGTGGACATTATTCTTAGGCTTTTTATTCTGATTGATACTGCTATTGATTTACTTAATTAACAGATTAATTAATTAATCTATTTATCTATTAAGGCCAAACCGGACTGAATGGGATACGGCAACCCTAACAAGCAAACTAGAGAGAGAGAGAGAGAGAGAGAGAGAGAGAGAGAGAGAGAGAGAGAGAGAGAGAGAGAGAGAGAGAGAGAGAGATCAAGTAACTTTCCCTCTCGGGAAATCGAATTTATGTAATTTATATTTAACAGCAAAGTGTCTGATAGTCATAACAACTCCGACTCCGGTTCGGCCTTCTGTTCAACCATTTTTCAACATTGTTACAGCTGTCGATCCTAAAACATAAAAATAAAAACAAGCAAAATTTGTGGGAAAAACATTCCTCCTTTTACTCCTACGCCCTCCTTCACTCCATCCATTTGTCCATCCATCTCCTCCGCCTCTTTTTCTTCTACTTCTTCCTCCTTTTCCTCCCTCTTTCCCTCAATCCATTCGTCCATCTTCCTCCATCCCTCTTCCCCCTTCCTTCTCCTTCTCCCTCACCCTCCCTCCATCCTTTTTTCCTCTTCCTCCTCTACTTCTACCCCCCCCCCCCAAGTAAGCCTTCTTGCCTTGATAGCCCGTCCGTGTGTGTTCTGCTCTTCAAGCCAGCAATATGGACAAGGACGTTCCTACTCGTGACACACTTCAGTGGGAGCAAAAACGAACAACAGCCATAAAGTCCAGATAAGTGGGGAGAACGTTCAGATATTGCTCCCAACATCTGTAACAGTTCATGCAATATAGGCCACATTATACATGGGGGGTAGGGGGGGTTAGGGGGGGTTAGGGGGGGGGGTGAGAGAGAGAGATTAAATGAGGAAGTATGCCAACTCTGGCTGCCCAGTAAAAACAATACTAGGGATGAGACGAAAAAAATGCAGGTTCTTGGACAATTAGTTTTTAGTTTTAGTATAGGTTTTACGGCGCTTGCAAATGCATAAGGTCATATGAGCGCTGAGGGGTGGATGTCAACAGACTTACAGGGAATCAGGCTTACTCTGTTCACCTCTCTAGCTTCAACAGCACAAAGTCTGCTTCGACTATCAAGGCACCACGGAAATAGCGGGTCACGAGAGTGCGACAAACATACAAAAGAAATAGAGGGAAAATGACAATAGTAGGGATTAGGAAAGAAAAAGCAGCAGTTCCCTGTTGCAGTTCAGGCACAGTTAATAGTTATGAGCATGACATTGATGAATAGGCCCATTTACAATCTACAATTTACTGTGCATAAGAACATATTAAGGGGAGGGGATGGTTTATAAACCTATCTCGGTAACTATGTTTTTTTAGATAAAGCCTTCTAGCAAGGAGGTATAACAGGAAAACATCTGTAAAATGTTTTGTTTTTTTGTTTTGTTTAAGTGTACGGTTGCCATGATAACGGCCACCATATTAAAAATAAATAGCTTTCATGAGTAAAACGGAATTTTTATTCACCGTTCAAATGTTGTACAATGATAGATATAGGACTTTTGAAGGTCAAAGAGAGGTGGCAGAAATGTGTTACTCTGCATGGTGACTATGTAGGGAAATGAAAGTATGTGTGCCAAGTTACAAAACTCTCTCTTTATTCCTTCATTTAGACCAAAGACTTCTTGAACTAACCTCGTACCCCACCATTTTCACAAACAATCTAGATGATTTAGGAGGTGGGCTCCGCCAATCCTCCCTATCATGGCCCCGCATAAATATAGAGATACCGATCAATAATAAGATTGATGGGGGGTTTTTCTGTGCACAAAAAGAATAGACGTCTTTAGCAAGCAACTGCGAAGGACCCAATCATTTCATAACGGACACTAGCACTATGTTTGAATCCCTAATTATTGTACTTTGACAGTCAATTGTCACCTTACACCCCTTCCCCCCTCTTTATTGTACATACCACGATCATCCACCAGCGATAGGAACAAAAAAAGCTCAACTTCCATTAACTCAGAATATAACCAGAACTTCCCGTATCGTGTTCTTTGTGGTGTTACACAGTATTATGAGACTGTGGATCACTACGTCCTGTTCTACTGCACAGCCCTAAATGACACCAGAACCATACTTCTCCCTCCGCGACCTTACACTGACAACGCACTCACATTAAAGTAACTGCAGAAAATCTACTCTTATCAGTACATTGCTTTTGACAGAAGGGCGAGGGTCCAGCTGTTGCTGGATCAATAACAGCAACAACAACAACAACATTTTACATACATCCTCCTAACATCAAAGCCATATTATACAGGAAGCAATGTTGTATAATATCTTTACCATGTCCACAGGACAATACACGCAATGTACCGTATCGGCCTATTTAATAGACAGAGCTAGCTCCCGTTGTTACATGTATGCAGCTTGTGAGCACATTCCTTGCTAAAACAATCTCAACAGGCACGAAGCAAAAAGAGAACCAATTATTATCTCTAACATTAAAAATGATATTTCCAGAAAACCGTGAGTAAATTCAAATAGGAAATCATTGTTAAAGCAAATGACGGTTAATGTTGGTAAATCCTTCTGTATGACTCGATGATAATGTATTTATATAGCACGTGTTCATATATTTTTTTCACACGAATATATTTTCTTACAAATTATATACGCTTTCAATTTGGAAATCAAACACCTGTTTCGGTTTAGAAATTTGACGCAATGCCTCTGGTTTAAAATCAGTTTCTGGTTTGAAATCGGTTGTTATTATTATTATAAAGATATTGGATCGGTGACTGCATTATAAATCTGTAATAACTGCACCAAATCAAAGTTTATTTTCAATTAAAGTAATATTATTCTTAAAAATCATAAAATGTTTGCAAGTTTATTTTAAAATAGTTCACATGTCAAACTTATTTTTCCCTCCGAATATGAACAGTAGAATATTAAATATTTTCTTGTCGGCCGTAACTGCATTTACCTTAGTAATTTTCTGTTAGTCTTTATCCACAGAGAGCGATGAACGTACGTATATTTATACTCGTCTTGTTTACAAAACCAAAGTAAAACCAAATTAGATATTAGATTTTCTGAAATATGGCTCGTTCCATTTGGTCTAACGAAGTGGGAGAGAGAGAGGGGGGTGGGGGTGGGGAGAGACAGAGAGACAGAGACAGAGACAGAGACAGAGAGACGGACAGACTAACTGACTGACGGATAGACAGACAAACAGACAGTTATCCCCCTTTTTCCAAGCACAGTCTGGATAACCATTACCTCGAGGGTATGCTTCTCTTTACTTGTAGACTAATTCTTATCAAATCGCCTGGTCCCGAGTCATGTAAACACAGTTACACACAGATTGGGCCAACTAAATCGGTCCTGGTCGAGGCGATTACTTTCTTTGACGTCTCATTTTTTTGTTTAAGCCGGGAGTCTCAAACACAAATTACCCAAGTGTCACAGGAGGTAAAATCTGTGTAATGATTTATGGAAATGGGAGTCAACTAGGGGATAAAAGAGCTGTCGTATTTTAGGGGATTACCCCCCCCCCCCCCCCACCCCCCCTTTTCCACGCACACTTAAATATCATGCGACCTGTCTTTCGTTTGTTTAGTGAGTTCACCCTTGTAGCAAGCTCACAGACTCTCATTGTGCCAACGAACCGTAAGTGAAAGGAACGACTACAGCATTACAGTACACTTTGGCCGGAGTTTTAAGGCGCTCGCAACTGAATAAGATCATGGGTACGCCTGGGCCGCATCGAGCTTCCCACGAAAAGGGTCTCAAGTATCTTTAAAAAACTACAACTGATCTGATCTTCTCGTTCTTTATTAATAGCAGTTCGGAACATGATCGGTTCTTCAGAACAAGGCATCTCTTTTCTACGTTTGACCTTGAATCGCTTCCACAAACTGATATAGCTCAGACACATTTGGCTCGATGAAAGAAGCAAGTGGGAACCTCTGTACGGCCTGAAGATGTCCATAAGTAAGTTTGGATAATCAAGTTCTTTGACTTTTTAAATTTCCTCTAGTAGAAGGGCTATTTACACAGAAAATGTGCTACCAAAATGGGATATTATGGTCCTCTTGAGCATTCGGGAAAACACAGGGAAAGTAAAGGACAATTCTCTCAAAAACTGACCAATCTTCGGCGGCAATAACACTAAACTTTGATGTCAATTAGGGATGCAAAACATGGTTCTGTTGGCTTCAGTTGAGAAAGGAGAGAGAGAATGAGAGAGAGAGAGAGAGTGGGTGAGAGAGAGAGAGAGAGGGGGGGGGGAGCGAAACTGGCAGACATACATACTGACAGACAGACAGACAGATATTCGTGTCTGTCTGTCTGGCTATCTGTCTGTCTTTCTGTGTGTCCGTCCCCCCGTTCTCTCTCTCTCTCTCTCTCTCTCTCTCTCTCTCTCTCTCTCTCTCTCTCTCTCTCTCTCTCTCTCTTCCACATTAACCCAGCTAAAACCTGGCCAGTAAATAAAAATCTGGCCCCTCTTCCATCCCGTAGGATTTTTATCAATGGTGTGTCAGCTTGGCAATAATAAAAACAGGTCAGTGACAATAAGCTGAACCTTATTTTCGTTTCTAATGAGGAAAGTGTGTCAAAGTCTGTGCCCGCAGGCAGAAAGTACTTTTTTTTACCATTATTTCCGTAAATCAGATAATAATCTGAACACTAGAAGGCAGCTATCGGTAGCTTTAAGCACATGGAATTGAACGAGTAGGAGGTGAGTGGGGGGGGGGGGCATTGTTAGATAATAATGTAAACAGGATTGGGTTAATGTTTCAGAAGGCTACATTCCCCCCAGCCCTTGTTGTTAAATGTTTCCTCGGAAACTGTTCGTCTGGTGACATGTTTCGGGGAAGAAAATAACATGTAACTCGTCAAGAGACTTACTTTCGAGCAGGATTTATGCTGCAGAAATAAATGCTCTCAAGGGGTATACATGTACATGTGTCTTAATTTTCATTGTAAATGTTTTGATTGATTGGTTGGTCGGTTAGTTGGTTGGTTGGTTGATTGGTTGGTTGGTTGGTTGGTTGACTGATTAATCATGTCCTATAGCGCTTTCGAATTAATTTTGGTCAAAACGTTTAAATCGTAAGTCTGTAGTCAAGACATCTTTAATAACCTTTCCATTTTACCAATGATGGCTGTATCTCAAAAGCATACTGTAAACATTAATACATATCCTTTTATAGTACAGAAAAGCATTTAAATCACCTTGGCGGGTGTTTGGCGGAGGCTCTGGTGTGGTTTGCTCATCGTTTCCTAACAAACATCTACCGTCCTTATCTCTCCTCCTTCTTTTCTTCGTATGTTACCTCTTGTAAAAGCTTTGATCTAAGGTACTTAAATATGACCCGTTTGTCTTGCAAGTGCTGTAAAACTATTATATAATCTTTAAAGAAATACAACAAACAAAACAAAAAATAAAAACCAACCTCACGTCAACAGCTCGCGCTCACAGCTCCAAAGAAACGGCCGTGATCAATCTGGCAGTCGATGTTTATGGGCA